CAAGCCCCTACCACTGCTTTCAATGACGGCTAACAATACGTTCTCTCTCTCTCTCTCTCTCTCTCTCTCTCTAAATCTTACAAATGGGTCCGTGTTTTCGGCAAAATTGGGGAAATGGTGGTGATTTATTAGCTTGCTGATTGTTGTTGTTGAATTGTTTGCTCAAATTTTGACTTTTAAGGATCATAGTGTTGTAGTGAGTTCTGTAATTATAGTTAGCTTCTTACTTTCCAATAGTAGAACTCAGATTCTTACTTGACGTTGAAACATGAATATAGTGCCAACTGAATTCTTGCCTATTGTCTATAATTATAGTCAAGTGTGGTTATTGTTAGATTCTTATGGATTGTCTTTTCTACTTTTCGAAGCCATTAAAGATATTTATTCAAATTACCTATTGCATGTTTGTTTATATGCCAAGCTCAAGTTGAAGTTCTCCTTGAAACTACCTACCCAAACTTTCCACAAATTTGATTTTTGACAAATTTGATACCAAGTCGTAAGGCACCTCAAGTCTGCTATAATTGATCCATAAAGCCACTCTAACTTTAATCAACTCCCTAATGTTCTATTTGGCTCATGGGAATGAATAAACAGATATTTATTCCCATTTTATTTCATTCTAAATGAGTTATATATATATATATATAAATTATATTTATTTAGATATTGTTTGGAATAAATCTCACCCAAGCTATGGAAGCAAATAAAATAAAAATAGAATGGTCTCAAGAAAAATAGAAAACACAAGATTTTACGTGATTCGGCTCAAATGTCTACATCCACGGTGAGTGAGAAGCAATCCACTAATAATAGAACAATTACAATGGTGAAACAAATACAACTCCTTGATATTTTCTCACACCCCACAATGTTAGCAGATATATTGTGACCTTAATTTTATAATTTTATATTTTTATATTGTAGGCTGTGAAATTTGGAGGCATGGAACAACCTATTTTTACAATGAAATTCATTAGGAAACCAATGAATTAATGAAGGTCAGTTTAAGGCCAAACAAACCACTTGTCAGTTTAAGGCTCCTCCCCAATTATGATTTCTGGATCCACCACTTTGCATGAAGACTAGTTGTGATGTGATCCTTCGCATATGAACACTCTAATAACCAACTAACCTAGAATTGACCAACCATGTCATAACCATGGAGTTTTCAGCGTCCCAACTGTCGAACAGGGGATCATTAACAGCAGGAGCCTTCTTGTCACCAGTGATGTAACCGATCTTTCCTTGCCCACGGATATACATCCGGACAGATTGTGACCAGCGGAGAAAATTATCACCATTTAGGCGGATGGTGGTGATTTGGACAGAGTGAGAGTTGGACGTTTTCATCAGAATGGTAGCGGCATGGGTTGAAGTGGTTTCGGACGTGACTTCCGACATAGCTACGATGGTTTTAGGGCTGCTGTGTTTTTTTTTGCTCTGATAGCAACTCAGAAAATATGAGGAAGGAATATATTTTTAATCACTTAAAGAATGAGAACATGATTCTCTCTTATAAAGAGAGCAATTACAACAGAAAAGGAAACTAATTAAAGCTAATATTTGACAGCTTCTACTTTCCTATTTTTCCTGATTCTATACAGCCTTTACTTTCCATATTTACATAGGAAAAAACAGATCCTAAAATATTGACTAAATCAAGGCGATAATAACCAAATTTCCAGCACAAAGAATACCTAAATGATTCTTACTATTTATTTGACAGCTTCACCACTTGTTATATGAAAATAGATCAAAAGACGTGAGAAAACTTTAAATCAACTGACAAGTAATATATGTGGGCAACAAAGATGCATGCAACTGTGCCCACCTCAACCTTAACAGGTTTCTCATTCTTCTTTTTAATAGACTTTTCATCATCTGTTGCAGTCCTTTTCCCAAGTAATGCATATAAGTTTACATCTATGAGTTGCTATTCCAAAAGACAACAAACATGTGTAACTAAAAAGATTATTGAAATACCTCAATAAGCCTCTGAAATTATGTCATCTGTTAAAAACTAAGAAAAACATTTCATATCAATTATATATACTACCATGCATAAATGTTACCTTGACAATCTTCAGGTCAGCCCAAGGTTGCCTCTTCCGTACACGACCAAATAATTCACCAACTAAGAATGCCAACTGGTTTGACAAATCATGAAACTAAAATCCACTAAAGTCATGGAATTATAAATCCTTGATTTTTGAGGTCTCATGTGAAAACCAAGAGATTCAAAAATAAATAAAGAAATAACTGAAGGAGGGTTGTCTTCATAAAATACACCGAAACATTTTCTATTCTATGTTAAAGCTTCTATGAATGCCAACTGGTTTATGGTGATTGAGGGCAATTACGAAAGTCACTGGAAATTATGGAAGTGACAAAGGCAATTGTGGTGGGATCCATTAAGAGCCTTAAGACCCTATTAAATCTTCTCCTAGCTTCTCATATTGTTTTTGATATACTTCCTCCTGTTTAATGAAAGCAGCCATAAGTTGAAGAGGTGGTAGCCAAATTTATTCTAGGTTCTATTTGCTAAGTTTCTGACTGCAGCTTCCTTGTAGGGTTGCAGAAAAGGATAAGGTATATTGAGCTAAAAAATAATCTTACGCATACAACAAATATAGAGTTCTTCAAACCTCGTTCCAACGCCTTACGATGTTACAAATAAAGTGAAATATACAACCCAAGAACTGTTTTGCTACTTGTAGGCCCATTTAGAAGGTATAACTAAGTCAAGTAGCCTTATAGTTCTCCAAAATCCAGCCAAGTAATTCAAACCATCAACGAATGTAATAGCAAGCTTCTCCAAATTGAAGAACAAGAAATTCCAAATAAAGTACAGAGCACAGTGATTAAGAATGAAGACCAAGAAATTCCAATCTGCATCTATATTAATAAGTTTCACATCATCTCTAATTTCACTTATGTTTAATTCTATGCTGAAATTCAAAACAATGCTCCTTCATTAGCATGTCAAAAGCCACACACTACCTACCTCCAATTAGATTAGATTTTCAAACAAATGAGCAAATGAAGCAACAAAATACAACAGAAGAACCAAAATACAACAGAAGCATGAAAAAAAAACAAAAAAATAAAATAAAATCTAAATGATAAACAAGAACAAACGCAGCCATCAAACCCACAATCCTAAGATCAAAACAAAGCAACAAGTAAAGCTTCAACTCCTTTACCAACTGCTCTTCTTAAACTTTGGTTTATTATTCAACTTTATCTCAACAATTTCCCTACGGAAAACCTCTTCAATCCTGTCGAAATCAATGCCCAAATTCAAATTTTATATGCATATGCATACAAATTCTTTTCTCTATCTTCTTAACTTTTTTATATCATAAATCAATATCATCAAACCATCAAAAAAAAAAAAAAAAACCAAAATCATAGTCATTCATCAATGGCGATGGGTGGATCGATTTGGGGTTGGGTATGTGTGAAGGTATGCAAATGGAAGAAGAATATCCTAGAGGCTAAAATTAGGGGAAGAGAGACTGAAAGATAGAGAGAGGGAAAATAGAGAGAGGACATACCTAGGGTAATGCTCCAATGGTGGATTGACAATGGTGCTCGTGTGCGATGGCGGTGATGCTCCTGTACCTGACAACGATGGAGACAAAAGCGAGAGAGAGAGAGAGCTGGAGGAGGGCAGAGGCGTGAGAGAGTGAGAAAGAGAGACAGAGTCACAGAGTGAGAGACAGACAAACGAATGAGAGAGTTAGAGCATGTGGTAGTGTATTTTTTAAACCCTAGTTTATTTTCTTTCCCGACCAACTTTTTTAGTCGCCAATAATAAATAAAGGCATTTTTTCCGACTAAGGCCTCGTTTGGGAACAGGCTAATTTAGTAACTTTTTAGCTATTTGGCTAAAATATGAGCTAAAAAAAACTAGTATGTTTGGGATGACTTTTTGGCTTTTTATGAAAAATGTGCAAAAAGTAGAGAGAAAAGAGAATCTTTGACTTTTTGGTATGAGTTATTGACTTTTTGGCTAATTTAGTAACTTTTTGGCTAAAAAGTTCAATTGCCAAACGAGGCCTAAGTACTTTAGTAGCCAATTAATTTTCCCTCCAAAATCTGAAAATTTTAATTATAACTGCTGACTAAAATTTAGTCACTAAAAGTAAATTAATACCGACTAAATTATTTTTAGTAGCTAAAGATTGTGCATTTAGGGACCAAAACTTTTTTAGTCGCCTATTGGGTAATTTTTTTAGCGACTAAGTCATTTTTGGTCGCCTATTGGGTAACTTTTTAGCTACTAATTGTATTTTAGTAGCCTATTGGGCTATTTTTAGCGACTAACTGTTTTTTAGTCGCTTATTGGGTCATTTTTTAGCTACTAATTGTGTTTTTGGTCGCCAATAAGTAATATATGGCTACTAAAAAATTTTAGTAGCTAAAATACGAAACATTGCCGACAATTCAAATTTTAGTTGCCAAAGGGTTGACTTTTGGCGAATAAATTAATTTTAGTCGCCAAATTTGGTCGCCGAAAGTGTAATTTCTTGTAGTGACATATCTATCCAATATCACCTATATGTCCACCTTATTGGCTCCAGCTACTATCGTCGACCCAATATCACATATCACCTATATACCATATCTGTCCAAGACATTACATCACATAAACTTGTTATATTCAGCAACCCAAGAGCACTGAAAACATAAATTTCATGAAAAAGGTGAAAAATATGAAGAGTGTTAAGCCTCAAGGTACAAAGAAGTAACAATATGCAATTGAAATCTTAATACTTTTGTCTTACAATGCAAAAGGAAAACCAAAATGAATATGCCCATCTATTGGTTCCCTAACCCATTAACAGAAAGAAAACATACAAATTTATGGCTCAAGTAATGCACCAGATCACTACATAGGCAAAAAATTGTAAACCTCCAAAGCTCATACAGATTCTTCTCATAGAGACAAAAATTTCACAGAATGTAAATAGGAGAAAGAACAATAGCTTGAGTCATAAATTCTTCCCCCAATCTAATTAGAAGAAGATTTCTCAACAATATATTACAGTGTAAAACAAACTACACATAACTTCAGCCAACTATTTTTGGGGGATAAATAAAAGACAATATTATTAATCAAAAAGCATCAAGATGATGCTAACAAATGGAGAGGAAAAGAATCAACACAAAAGATCCACCCTAAATATGAAGAGTGTCTATGAAGTCCACAAACGAAAACAAATCCCGAGACACTTTCCGAAACTCAACTATACAAAATCATCAAAAGCCTATTCTTCATACGAGCCACAAGTTCATCCACCACCTAAAAAATCGATTGATTATGCTCCAGCCAATAACATCAGCCAATTAATATCAAAAGGAAAAAATATTTTCAATTATTGCGCATTGATTTATCATGCAAGATGTGATTTCACTATATTTACGCGACACTCACACAGATTGAATATTTTTCCTTCTTTGCCAGCAGAAAATCAACTTCGAAATTTTGTTCCAAAAAAGTTGTCGGACTATAACATTAGCTATGTTCTCCAGAACATTGAGGGTAAATTACACTCACATCCTTGAAGTTTGGGAAAAAATACAGTTAGCCCCTTAAGGGAAGTTAGTGTAATTATATCAAAAGTGTGAAACTAATTGTATTTTACCCAAACCTCAGGGGAAGTGAGTGTAATTTACCCTAACATTTAACATGGTTTCTCTAGTGGTACAAAGTTGGTTGCATGTCTTCCTTAATACACTATTCCAACATTTAAGGGCATTTGGAGAAGTTGTCTCTACATCTGGATTTTACAATCTTGAATAGGGATGGCAATAGATAACTTACCATATGGGTATCCATGGAGACACAACCCAAATACATGGGTTTTTCTCTTTTTTTCTTATCCATTGGGTAGGGTAAGTGATATTCCTTAAATATCCACATGGAATGGGTTGGAGATGAGTACCCACTAATTTCCCCATATGTTTTTATTTTATTTTATTTTTAAGTTTTTTTTTTTTTTTTTTTTTAAGGATTCACAATCAAAACTAAATATACATTCAATCTTTTTTCTTTTATTTATTTATTTATTCAGGTTCACAACCAACTTCTTTTTTTTTTTTTAATTTTTTTTTAAAGATCCACAACCAAAGTTAAATATACATTAAATCTTTTTTTTTATTATTTTTTTATTATTTTTAAGGTTCACAACCATTTTTTTTTTTAATTTTTAAGATTCACAACCAAAGCTAAATATACATTCAATCTTTTTTCTTTTATTTTTTTTTAAATTTTTTTTAAGGTTCACAACTTCTTTTTTTTTTTTAAGGATTCACAACCAAAGCTAAATATGCATTCAATCTTATTTTATTTTATTTGGCTCAACAATAAAATCAAATACACATTAATTAACATTGTCAAATTATTCTTGTCAAATTTTAGACATATCTTGAATTTTTTAAATTTATTTAAAAAAATTAAGGACACTGTCTAGTGTAGGTTTCGATTTGCTTTTCTATGTTATTTTATTTTGTTATGTATTGTAATTTTCAGAATGGTTTGCTTATTCTGAAATTTCAATTAACGAGTATGAATCTATTTGTTTTATGTTATCACACAATTCATACAACATATATATATATATATATTGAGAGGGTAATTTTTGGGAAAAATTGGGCCGAGCTTCGAGTTGGGCTTTAAGGCCCAAAACACGAAGGATTAAGTAAAAAGGCCGTAATGGATACTTCGGCCTAGGGGACAAGGTTACTCCGGTCTTGAGGAGACAAAGTTACTTCGGCCCAAGGAGGTGAGGTTACTCCGGCTCATGAAGAGATAGATGCTTTGGTCCAAGGAGAAGTAAAGCTACTCCGGTCCGTATATTTTTTTATATTTGGTGGTGGTGGTGATGGAACGAAGGTGAAAGTAGAGATTGTGACATAGTGGTGGGGTGATGGCGGCATTGATGATAGTAGTGGCTATGGTGATGGTAGTGTGATAGTGAAGGTGAGAATAGTGGTGATGGTGTTGTGAAATTAGTAAAAATTTAATTGAAAAAACATTTTTGGTTTTTTTAAAAGTAACAAACAACAAAATTCGTGGGGGACTAAAGGAAGAAGATGGAGGATGGATTGGGTGTGGTAAGGCATAGATATCTTAAAATGAGTGGTTCAGATTTGTTAAAAGGTATAATTAGATTTTGGATAAATTAAAATGAATGGTTCAAATTTGCTAAGAGAAAGATGGTTTAATGTCTAAAATGTCCGTGGCTAAGAGATCAACAAACAATTCCTAGTTTATATCCTGATGCAATTTAATATGGGTCTTATAACACTTTCTTCAGACAGGTTCTTTCACATTTTATTTCTTCAAACATGCTCTTATAACATTGTAAACAGGTTCTTATAACATGTAGGGGAGAGAGAGAGAGAATGAGACTGAGAGTGAGAGTGAGAGAGAGAGAGATTGTTGTAATTTTTTTTTTTTAATCTTCCACGTTCTTCCACATTTTTTTTTTCAATTACTAAAACTTATTTGATTGTCTCAAAATTATATATTTGATTATTATAAAACAAACTTTTTAATTAATTAATTAATTAATGTGTATTTGATTTTGTTGTTGAACCAAATAAAATAAAATAAGATTGAATGTATATTTAGCTTTTCTTGTGAACCTTAAAAAAAATAAAAATAAAATAAAATAAAAAAATAAGTTGTTAACATTAAATATATTAAAAAAGAAAGAAAAAAGACTGAAGGTATATTTAACTAAAACCTTTAAAAAAAAAGAAAAAAAGAAAAGTTGTTAATATTAAATATATTAAAAAAGAAAGAAAAAAGATTGAAGGTATATTTAGCTTTTGTTGTGAACCTTAATAAAAAAAAAAAAAGGTGGTTGTTAACATTAAATATAAAAAATAAAAATAAAATAAAAATGGGGATTAAAGTGGGTTGGGGAAAATCCAAACCCATTAAGAAATGGGGAGGGTGGTACCCATGGAGAATGGAAAATGGGGCATGGGGAAAATTTATTATAGGGGAATGCGGATGGAGAATTAATATCCACCTCATTAACCCCCATTGCCATCCCTAATCTTGAAATTTGCAAGTCATATCCAAGGAAGCATTATAAAACTTCAAGCCATTTATGAGCACATGAATTTATGGCGCTTTTACGTTAATTTCCTTGTATTTTATTTGTATACAGTACGATAGAATAAACCATACAGCACAAATACCCAACTAAATTCTCCAAAAACACATGAAGCAAAATTATGGCAGACAATCCTAGAAGCATCTCCCATTCTAGAATAAATGATCTCACAATCAAGTAACATTGCACCTACAAGGATGTTAATGATAAAATCATGGTTGTCACCACTTAGAACAAATATATTCCAATTTTATCCATGATTGTCACTTATTTTACAATTCACACTAAAATTATAATTCACCTGTTGCCAATTGTTTTCCTTGGAACTACACTGACAGTGAGTCCCCGCTAAATGAGCATTTTTTAAGATTTCCTATTTTTGTTTCAATAAACCATGTACTAAATACAAAAATAAACACATTTCCTCCTCCATAATCAAATTTTTCTAACCATGATTTAAACACATTGAATGAAGATCTATTATGCATAAAATGAAAGGAAAGATAAGCAGCCAACAACTAAAATATCAAAATGGTATATATCTTAATCATACCTTCTCTATTTTGCTTAATAACTTTGTGTATGCACTCCAACAAGACTCTTTATCTTTTATTGCTTGAAACATATTGAATTATAGTCAAACCAAGAAATTGGCATATCATGAATTTCACTAGTAAATTGGACTAATGGGTTTATGAAGAAATTTGATCCATTTTCGTATGCTGAATGGCTTTCAAGTAGATTACAGAGGAGTGGTTTTCAATTCTGAGAATTTGCACCAGCAACGCAAGACAGGGCAAATGAGGGAATTCGATGTGTTAGATTCAAAACACCTGCTAGCTTCCATTCTTTTATATATAGGTTATATATATATATATATAAATTCCTTTGTAGAAGAGTCAGATTGAAAACCTGATAGATGACAAGATAGAAGGGAAAAGGTTATATATATATATATAGAGAGAGAGAGAGAGAGAGAGAGAGAGGAAGGGGAAGAAGACGGGGAAAAACCAGGGTTGCTCCAATGGTTGTTGCGAGCGAGAAATAGAGAGAAAAAACGCTGCTCTTGTGAGAAATAGATAGAAGAGAAGCTCCAATCCTCTGATTTATAACCAAAAAAAAAAAAAAAATCCTTTGTTATAAAACCCTAGAAATTGGGTAAAGATATATATATATATATATATAGAGAGAGAGAGAGAGGGTGGAAATACCTGGTGTGCGCTAGAGGAGACACAAATCAAAGTAACTACTGTTGTCCGTTGCCGGTAGGGAGATGGGTGGTACCATTACTAGTGGGGAGGTGCGTTGTACCATCGCCGGTGAGGAGGTGGGTGCTCGTGTGCGACAGTGATGGATGGTGGACGGTGGTAGGTAAGAGGGTAGCCTGCGATGGAGTGAGAGAAAGAGAGAGAAGAGGATGACGTAAGAATGAAATGGAAGAGAACTGACAGAGTAGTCTAATTAAGGGACAAAGTTTGATCAATGTCGAGTAAATTTTTTTAGTAGCCAAAACCTTAATTAACTGTGATTAAATATTATTTCAGTCACTAAAAAGTAACAATTTGGTGACTAAATATTTTGGTCGCCAATTAATTTTATAAATCCCTTCAAAATTCGAAATTTTCTCTCTAAATATTTTAATCGCCAAAAGTTTGAAATTAAATTTTTGTTTTTCATTCGACGACTAAAAACTTTTGTAGTCAAAGCTATCTATACAGCAACTAAAACATTTTTTAGTCACCAATGGTGCCATTTTTAGCAACTAAATTTTTTTAGTCGCCAATAATCAATATTTCCCAACTAAAAAAAATTAGTAGCTAAATATTATACTTTTGCCGACTAAAAAAATTTTTGGTCGCCAATTCCACAAGTTTTGGCAACTAAATTTTTTTTGGTCGCCAAATTTGATCACCAAAAGTACATTTTGTTGTAGTGAGGTGAATTACTGAGTTTGAAATCTTGCTTGAGAATATCTATCGGGTTATTGGAAAGACCATGAAGGAATCAATTGAGCTTGAAATCCTACATCATAATCATCAAGTGCTTGAAACGATTATGTAGAAATACCATAAAAAGTTTGAAATCTTGCTTCAAAATAAATGTCAATCCTAGAAAAGATTGTCTAGGAGTTGCTTGAGTCTGGAATCCAGGATCAAATAATTGTCGAGTTCTTGAAAATATTGTGGAAGAATTGTTTAAGAGTTGCTCAAACTTAAAATCCTAGTGTAGAATAATGATAGATTGCTTTAAAATATTGTCGAGGAATTGCTAGAGTTTGGAATCTTGCGTAGAATAACCACGAATTTCTTTTTGTGTGAGAATTGCTCAAGTTTCAAATCCTACTTTAGATTAACAATGGCGTTCTTGAAAAGATTGTATAGGAATTGCTTGAGTTTGTGATATTGCTTTAGAATAAGATTCGAGATCTTTTATGGAGGAATTAATGCTTGATTTTTAAATATTGCTTTAAAATATTTGTCAATTGCTTTATAGGATTGTCGTGATACTGCATGAGTTTTTTTTTTTTTTTTTTAACTTGATTTTGAAGTCTTGCTTTAGGATAGTTGTCGATTACTTGACAAGATTATGGAGGAATTACTTGAGTTTGAAATATTTGTTTACAATAGCCTTCTAGTGTTTATATGGATCATTAGGTGTGTTAACAAAACAATTTTCAGTTTTTTGATAGCCAATGCAAGGCAAAGTGTTGCCCTACTTTATTGGGAATTTCAAACTAGTTAGCAATTAACTAATTAGCAGACAATATAATGTAGAACAAATTTACTTATTTTGGAAGGGTATTATCTTTTATTTTGGGGGTTTTTTCAATTTTTGATAATCTTGTGAGTAATTTTTCAACAATGCTGAATTTTTAAGAATTTTCTAAAATTTCCATGTTTTTCTATGATTTTGCGGATGCAACTGAACTAAAACAAAATAAAAATTATAATGCATCATTATTTTTATACGATTGCATACATATAAAATTTCATAGGCAAATTAGACTGAACTTTTGTGTGCATCAAGTCTCTCTTTCTAACAGAGTGGTATCAAACTTTGATCCCAAATTTCAAGCAATGTGGGAATGCAATAATGGGTTAAAGCTGAAAACTTTGTGGTTAAAGAAAAGAATAAAGATGATCAATATATAAAGCTGTTTCTAAACTATTTTCAGCAAAATCACTACCTACGATAGTTATATAAGAAGATATATATACTTTCTTCACATGACTTCCATCAATGACAGTTCTTTTCCAATCCCAATTAAAATGAGTGAAAACAATGAGGGTTGTATCAGTGAGGAAGCTCTTCAAAGGCTTACAGAGGACATTGGTAAGAAAATGGTTGAAGGTGCAGAGAAGACTCAATCCAAATCTTCTGCCTCTTGCATTTATAGAGTGCCCAAGGAGATTCGTAAGCGAAAAGAAAGTGCGTATACACCTCGCTTCGTCTCTATTGGGCCTCTTCACGGCAAGGACCAACACATTCTCAATTCGTCCGGGCAGAACCTCAAAAGGAGTTATGCGAATACCCTTGTTGGTTGAATATCGTCCAAGGAGGGCGGAAGAAGAAAAGCTTAATAAATCCAAGGGGGTACTAATGGAATGTGTAAGGAAAATGAGAAAGTCATTAGACAAAGCGAAGAAATGCTATGCGGAAGAAGTTGAGGATGTGCTGGATGTAGAGATGTTGGTGATTGATGGTTGTTTCATACTTGAACTTCTCTACAAATTCACAAATAACAAGGAGAGCGATAACAGAAACGATCCTATTTTTGGCAACATCCTAATGCCCATCTACGTCCAACACGACTTGCTACTGCTCGAAAACCAACTTCCTTTCTTCGTCCTCAACCAGTTGTTTGACCTCACAGTGGCTCGTACAGTAGGTATATCTCGAAATCATACTCTTCATAAGTATGTCGTTTCATTTTTTCGTAGCATGTGGAAATCAGAAAACAATGGAATAACAATGATGACAAAGAACAACGACTATGATCATATCCTCGATATTCTACACAACCACTATCGTCATCACGATGCAAAACCAGGACCTGGTGGTCCTAACGTGGTCATGCCTTGTGCATCAGATCTCGAATATGCCGGAGTCATGTTTGAAGAGGGTACCAAAGTCGGGTTTTCTAAACCTCAAGGTCCTTTTCATAGAGCTCAATTTAAAATCCCAACTTTGGACCTTTATGACTCAACCGAGCCATTCTTGAGAAACCTCATTGCTTATGAGCAGTGTTGCTCTGGTGTTCCTGGTTACTTCACATCATATGCAATCCTAATGGATACACTCATAAACACTCCCAAAGATGTCCAAGTGCTTGAAAAGACAGGAATCATCCGTAACTATTTAGGCGCCAGTGAAGATGCCTCCGATCTCTTCAACAATCTCTGCAAAGAAATTGTTCTTGGGGAGTCCTATTTTACTGAAACAACCACAGCTGCTGCTAAGTACAGCAAGCTTTGTTGGCATGATGCTATGGCACATCTGAGACGTAGATACTTCGCTACTCCATGGACATTCTTAGCTTTCTCTGCTGGCTTTATCACTTTCGGTATCACCATAATTAAATTTGTCCGTGCTGATTTTCGTTGATATGAATAATTTCTCAATAATGCTAGGATGATTATAACATGGTCATCTGGCACTGTTGATAATTCATATGTTCCTATGTTGTTTTGTGATGTAGATCAACTTAAGTCAATAAGTTACCCCTCACTTTCTAGCTTCAACAAAATTTGTACTAGCTAGAATGTCAAGGGCATATCGTATGTTTGTAAAATCAATAAGTCTGGGAATCCAGATTTTGGGCCCAGATTTATGTCATGAATTGAAGTTTGTGGTGAAGATTGAATTTTTGTATAAAAAGTATGTTATTTATGGTGCTGACATTATTGTGATTAAGTGTTATTTCAATGGAATTTCTCTTTTAAAATGATAAGCTCCAATGCAATCATGTTCAGATGGAGTGAGGTTAAATTGTGAAGGTTGTGAAGGAATTACTTGGGTTTGAATTCTTGATAGTCGAGTTCTTGAAACTATTGCGTAGGAATTGATCATGTTAGAAATATTGGTTCAAAATAATAGTCAAGTGCTTGAAAATATTTATCCAAACGACATTATTTATTGAAGGAGGAATTTCCTAGACCTTTTAATCTGTGTCTCTAAAAACAATTCAGTGAATTGTATTGTGGAAAGATGGAATAATGGGCCAGTGAAAGATGGGTTATTAAGATGATCATTAAGACCTTGGTGGGAATAGGAGCCGAGGGTTTTTCAAAACATTTCTCTTCTCTCATTTCTAATTGCTGGCAGCCAGGATAGGTTGTTATGGAGAGCTGATTCTTCCAATGTTTTTTCGATTCAATCCCTATATAAGTGGCTTGAAGCATTGCAGGGCCCCCAAAGTAGGATTACTTTCACATAGGGTTCATTGTTGTGGTGGCAGAGAAGTTGTTGAAAGTTGGATTGTGTGGGAGCCGAGTAAAAATAACCTTGAACCGACAAATAGAGTACATCCAAATCCGTCTTTGATGGGCCAAATGCAGCTAAAGCCCACTGGACTGAAAGTCATTTCTGAATAGATACAAGAAACAAGATGAAGAGCATCCCGAGTTAAGGGTACCTGGGCCACACATCTCAGCCGAGTCCATTGGATAAGTCAGCACGACACCTTAGATGAACCCAAGTTGTCCTTTTCTAAAGAATATAGTAGGAGGATGGGCCCTGACAAAGAGATGATGAGGGCCTACGCTACAGGAGAAAAAGATCAAGAATAAGGGCTCTATAAAAGGGAAGAGGTTGGAAAGAAAGGTATGCTCCACAAAACTTGCACTTAAAGAAAAAACACTATTTTTCATATAAAAGTTAACTTGTTCGTCGGAGTGTTAATTCTGGCACCACCGATCGAAATTGTTCTTCTGCTTCAGGTGACATCTCAAGGATCATTCTAGGGCTTGTTGGATTGAAGGAGTATTCCAATACCATTTCCCCACATATTGATTATTGATCCAAGTCATGGTCTGTGCCATTTTTACAAATTAAAATTGGAGACAATTGATCATGTTTTGCTTCTATGCTCCAAATCTTGGAAAATTTGAGTTCCTTGCATTGAATGGTGGCAAGGGACTAGAATCAGAAAAAAGGTAAGAGTCATTTGGGAAGTGATTCCTTTTGCAATTTTATGGACAATCAGGAGACTGGAATGTTAGGAACAAGTTGGTTTTCGATGGAGTGCGACCCAACTAGAAATCCATGATCGAGATTATTAATTTGAGAGTGGCTCTTTGGTCGAAATCAAAAGCTAAATCCAAGGATTTTTTGGTGAATGGATTTGTCTATCACATTCAACAGATTAGTAATTGTTAAGAATTATTGAGATTATTTTGTTGTGTTTCAGTGTGCACTGGTTCAAGCATAGCAATGGATCCTTGTGGGTTGCAGCTTTTGGTGGTGTTGCTGATAGTGTTGTTGGCTTGATGCAGAGGTCCCAGCTTCAGCATTGAGGATTCATATTCACAATTGATGGTGTCATTAGTTCTATGGGCAACAAGGCACTAACTTGGGCTGATCAATGGGGCAGAGGCATAGACGTTCATGTCGAGCCCAACAATATTTTCTGTTGGTGATAATTACAAATAAAATACCAGAAAATAAAAATAATAAAAATTACAATAACTATTGTGAGGGCTGAGGCGCGGGAAATTCGCTCTCTTTAAGGAGATTCAAGCCCTCTGCGGTTAGACAAAGCCTCACACCAATGTAGCAGAAAAAAACCTTGACTTGTCCCCCCCAGGATACAACAGCCCGACTAAGTCGTACGGTTCACCAATACTGCACAATTGGTTGAACCCAAAGCTTTATCACGTATACCATTTTTTATTTGCCTGATAATCTCACACAAAACATAATAAAGCAACAAAACTTCTTTTTGTGTGTCCCAAGATAGGAGATTAGCTCAATTTATAGAAGATGAAACTTGGTGCACAAGTTTAGGATCTTTCTTGGAAGTTGCTTGGAGGCTCCTTGGAATATGCTTGGAGGATAAGTATGAAAACTTGACTCTTGGAAGACTTGAAGGAGACTTGACTTGGCAAAGACTTGGAGGATAAGAATATGAAAGGAAATTGGTAGGCAACTTCCTTGGAAGACTTGGAGACTTGTAGAGAAAGACAATGAAGACTTGGAGGGAAAGAAAAGAAAATCAAACCTATAACACATTATAATATTAAAATATTTGCTAACATTCTCCCACCTATTTTAATATTATAGGTAACAAAAACTGAGATTATTAGGCAAATAAGGATATTATGCATCATGGTAGGTGTGATCTGCATTGAACCTCCATTATTGAAACAATAATATCTACTCCAGAGCCAATAGTATGCTCAGCATTGAACTATGACTTCTTAAGGGAAATAAATAATTATTGCACACACATAATATTTCAGGTGTTCACATAAGCTTTAAAAGCTAGCACATTACAACCTTGTGCGATCCCAGAATTCATGAGTGTGTTTGAGAATTAGCCCAAATCTCATAGGTAGCGGCCCCACTACCACACTCACATAGGTGAATTCTGTCAAGGGTGCTCCTATAACTATGACACCCCACTTAATAAGAGCTACAGGAATTCATTAAGAGTTTTTTAATAACTCAACCTCTATAACGTTACAGGATAAATACACTTACATCATAGGAATGGGTAAAAAGTAATTTAGTGCATTTCTTACGGCCATCATATGATCGTTTTTCTCATTAAACCCAGTTACAGGATCTCTGGTCCCTAGGTTGAGTATCCTCATACAAGGCTCCTGCTATATTCAATGGGCTTCAACCCCATCCCCCTTGATGTATTCCACTCTATCTCTTGCTAAGGCCTTAGTTAATGGATCTGCAAGATTATCACCAGATTTAATATAATCCACATTTATGATGTCATTATTCATATAAGATCTCACAGTACTGTGTTTTCTTCTGATAGGTCTGGATTTACCGTTATAATAATAGTTATTAACTCGACCAATTGCTACGGTGCTATCACAATGAATCAATATAGGTGGAGTTGATTTTTCCCAACACGAGATTTTATTTAACAAATCTCTCAACCAATTTGCTTCTTCACTAGATGTAGCTAAAGCAATAAGCTCAGCCTCCATTGTTGAATTAGCAATAATTGTTTGTTTTTTCGATTTCCAACTTATAGCACCACCTCTCAATGTAAATAAGTAACCAGTGGTTGATAATAAATCACCTGACAAGGTATTCCAATCGGCATCACTCTAACCTTCAAGTACTGCTGGATACTTATTATAAAACAAGCCATATTTTATGGTACCAGATAAATATTTCATAATCCGCTCAGTGGCTAGCCAGTGATCACTGCCAGGTTTGCTAGTAAATCTGCTAAGTACTCCAACTGCATAGGCAATGTCAGGTCTAGTATAGTCAGTCGCATAACGCAAGCTACCAATCATACTAGCATATTCCTTTTTATTAATTACATCCTCATCATTTTCAATAGGAAATAAACGCACATGAGGATCAAAAGGAGTAAAAACATGCTTGCACTTATAAAAATTATATTTTTTCAAAATTTTCTCAACATAATGCGACTGATCAAGAAATATACCATCACAGATTTTGGTAATTTTCATTCCCAAAATATAATTAGCCTCACCAAGATCTTTCATATCAAAATGACTACTAAACATATTTTTAGTTTCCACAATGATATGCAAATTAGAGCCAAATATAAGTAAATCATCCACATAGAGGCTAATAATGACATGTGAATTCTCTTCAGATTTATAGTAAATGCATTTATCACATTCATTTGTTTTGTAGCCGTTTTCAATCATGCAGGAATCAAATTTCTCATGCCACTGTTTAGGGGCCTGTTTTAAGCTATAAAGGGATTTAACTAGCTTGCACACTTTGCTTTCTTAACCGGGTTCCACAAAACCCTCAGGTTGATCTATATATATTTCTTCACCCAGGTCTCCATTTAAAAAGGCTGTTTAACATCCATTTGATGAATTTTTAAATCATGAATTACAGCCACTGTAATTAATAATCTAATGGATGTGACTCTAGTAACCAGAGAAAATGTATCAAAAAAGTAAAGATCTGCTTGTTGTTTAAAACCATTTGCAACAAGCCTTGCTTTATATTTATCAATAGTTCCATCCGGTTTAAATTTTTTCCTCAAAACCCATTTACAGCCAATAGTTTTACAACATGGTGGTAAATCTACTAATACCCAAGTTTTATTAGATAATAATGATTTTATCTCATCATTTACAGCCTCGTTCCAAAAAACAGAGTCAGGAGATGCCAAAGCTTCTTGTAAAGTTAATAGAGTTTCTTCCACATTAAAAATATGATAATCATGGCCAAAATCTTTTTCTAGTTTGGCTCTTTTACTCCTTCTAGGTTCAAAAACTACAGTATCTTGGTTTTGTAAAAGAGGAGTAGAGGAACCAGTTTCAGATAAAATATTTTTTTGATAATTTTGACCCCCACCATTTTTAGATTTAAAAGGAAATTTTTCTTCATGAAAGATTGCATCATCGGATTCAAAAATTATTTTGTTT